CGTGTGGTGCTAGCTGATGCTTCGGGCTCTGAGCCTGCTGATGCTGAAGCAAGATCAACTAGCAAAAAATCACCTGAAACTTTGCCAAAACGAACAGGTTCCAGTATGGCCCAATGCACTATGTATATATACTTATGTATATATAAATGATGATATCATAATGTATATCTGATATATCTCTCAGTCTGATGACCATGCGAATCCCAGCTGGCATGACTCAATGACACACAACCGCACATCTGTATTCCAGTGTGTCTATTCCAGTGCACTTCATCAGTGACTTGGAAATTAACAGCAACTCAAGTCAGCAGTGGCTTCTTGCATCTACAAACCTGGAAACTAGAATCCAACACCACCACTGTCTTCCGCAAACAAACATCAATAAAATGCTAAGCTGTCACCAAATCATGACAGTCGCAGACTGCGCAGTCTGATTGATATGCTTCGACCGCAATCTCCGCATGCTTATTCCAGAGGCCTTTGTCAACTTTCTCAACCGAAACTACCAAAGCCTACCTTTGCGTAAAAAAGCCAGGCTCTCAGAGGCCGCTGCCTGCGCCGGAGTAGGAGCCGTAGAAGAAGACAGCGAGGATGCCGATGGCCGCGGTGCCTGCGAGAAGGCCAATGAAGACCAAGTTCAGCCTCTGGGGTTCGCCACCTGTTGCGGCCATGCTCACCTGCACAGAGCGGCCCTCAGTCTGGAAGCTTGGGGCCTGTGCCAAGGCTCCAGTCTCCTGCTGCGCGTTGCCACGCAACACCTGGGGAGCCACGAAGCTCTCGCTGGGCAGCAGCATGTAGGTGGCGCATGCCACCACAGCCAGCACAAGCAGATTGGAGCTGCGTGCCATGTTTTATCTGGCCTGAAGCAATGTGCAAAGCTGCTGGCCTCAAAGCTAAAGCTGCAACCGAGATGGCAGCGGCCGAAGTGTCATCAAACCTAGTTTGTGTTTAATTCCTTTGCTATTTGAACCCGCTGTGCAAAAAGATTGTCTTAACTCCCTTTGAGGTGCCCTGAAGAAATCCCATTATATAAGGATGGCAGCCCAAGCATTCCGAAAAGGCTCGTTGCATGCTGGACTCGGTATGACAAACAACGAAATAAAACGAGTTCCAATCGAAACAAGACTGACTAGGACATGAACAATGCATCGAGGCTTTGACTTCAACAGTTTTCTTTGGTACTTGCACTGATTCGCCATCTGCTGTGTGATCTTGGATCTCTGTACAAGCAGAATCTGCGTGTCGCAGCCCCACAGAAGCACTCTGAGCACCCTCTTGCAGCACCCTACATCGGATATCTTCAAATGTCCCAGTTCAAGGAATGCAAAAGCAGCTGAAAGAACTGGATGAAATGTGAGGACACAACGAATCCAGCGTAGATGGACACCAGCCACCTTGGGTCCAGCCCAATCCAACCTCTTTCGGTCTCCGTACGACCTGGAAACCGGGTGCCCTGAGCCAAGGCTTCAAATGAGACTACTGGTGAAACGCTTCGTACAAAGTGAGACTGGCACAATTGATGACACTGGAGTGAGCAAAAACAAAAGAAACCAAAAACGGTTTATGAAGATCTATGCACCCCCTGGAACCGATGCTGAAGGAGAACTTTGGCCCCTGGAAGAATCCAACAAACGATGTTGAGACACGTTGTCTCCACACCCAAAAAAACAAATCAACGCCGCTCATCTCCAGACTGCCACAAACTTGGATTCCTTTTCTTCGTCGCTCCAGGCTGCGCGGGTCCTGCAGAACAAGGCTTGGTCTTCTCAAGGTTAGTACAGGCACAGCAGCTGCCACAGCGTCCAGGAACAAAAGAAACTCGCTGTCAGAGCTATGCTGTCCGTCCTACAATAAAGTGCAAGCGTACCATGATTAGCATGCTTCGTTAACTCGCGTCTCCTTCACAAGGTTGGACGCCATCGCTATTAGGTTGGAGGCCATAAGCTATTAGGTTGGAGGCTATTACCATTGGGTTGGAAGCCATCGCTTCGCATTGGGTTTGCAGCCAAATGTTCTTCCACCAACGCTGTCAGTCTTGAAATTTTTCCCCCTTGCCTGGGACTTCGCTCCACCTTTGGGGAGACCATGCGATCGCTCCGAGACAAGTCCACCTGGCATTTTGCAGAAAGGCATCCGTGCGCCCTCGAGGCGTATACATGCATGTGCGTGTGTGGATTCACCGTGTCCCAAGCTTAGACATATCATTGCGCGCTGTGTGGTATAGCAGTATACAGTATATGTGTGTGTATGGTATGTTTGGAGAATGCAGTGTGACTTTGGTGGATGTAATCCAAATACCGTATGTCCTTCTTGTATAGAATCCAACTCTCACTCTGTCCAGTTCGTTCGGCCGAGAGTCGAATCCTTGAAGGCATTTTTGTTCAAAGGAAAAAAGGCACGCTGGGTTGGATTTCAAGGGTTATGAACCCAAGCGTTTTGCCATGGGGGACCGAGAAAGATCATTACCCCCCTACCCCCCTCAATCCATGGTGGCCGGACCGTCTGAAAGAGGAGGGCACACGAGGCCGGATCTTCCCGTTCCACATGAAGACCGACGTTTCGTCCCTAAGCATTGGTGGCAGGGTTTTTGTCCCTGGCCGAACGGCTGAGGATGGCCGTGGGCAGTGCGGAGGGAAGAAACTGAATATCTGAATCGGGTGTTCATCCACCAAACAAGCCAGAGGTCCTATCCCGCCGAATCGAGCAGCAGGATGGACTGCAGCGAGCCCTAGAAGCTGAGATGGTCACAGAGAGCAAAACGCTCAACTGCTGGAGGAGATCGGGGACGTCATGTAGCAAAGAGTCAACATGCTTGTCTTCGTAGCGGTGATCTTCGTTGTTTCCAAAAAGGGGCCCACCACAAACTCCATGGCTCTCTCTGCAGAGCATGTTGCAGCGCGTTACACCCCAAATGGTACACAAGTTCCTTCTAACTCTCCACCTCAACATGGGCCAGCACCGGACGTTCGTCCTACGCCGCAACTTTTCCTCCTGCGTCAGTAATCTCCGGGCTATGAAACGCTGGAAGCCCATCGTCGTCGTCACCGCGACCAACAGTGGCTGCCACGTGAAAGAAGGGAAAGTTACGACGCCGCGAGATGCTCGAGATGAGCGCGCGGAGTGGCCCGGAGCGATGGAGGGCGGGCCCAGATTGCACCTCGGCTTCCGGGTGAGTTGCTTGATGCTCGCTATCAACGCGCCGAACAACGGGGCGTGAACCACCAGGCCCTGATCATTGATCGCGACCTCACTTTGACAGCTGTACCGGCCAAGCTGACAGCCTTGGCCACAGGGGTCACTGAGTCTGGGCAGCCTCTCTGCGTTCCGCAGTTTTTACGGGCTCAAGAAACCGGACAGCGCGCTGCTGAAGGCTTTGGCCCTGGCGGTGATCCAGATCGCCTCCTTGGACGCTGTTGCGGCATTTCGTCTGGCCAAAAGCAGGCATCAGCAGGGCGTTGATTGTTCTCAACAACCGCATCACAATGGGGTCTGGCAAATCCGTACCCACCAGTCGCGTGGCTGGCGACGAAGGCATGGGCAAGTGGCTAGGAAGGCTGGCAAGGATTGCAAACGGCCCCATGCCTGGGACGGATTGAAGACAAAGCTTCTCGCTGTCGGATCTACAGTGGAAAAGATCATCGCAAATCCGAGCGCAATTGAAGCCCCCCCCAGGAAAAAACAAGGGCAATGGTGAGCTGCGAATGCGCCTGCGCCTGGGGCTGGTGGTGGGGGAGTTCGCAACCATCATCGGATTGTGACCAGCCTGACAATAGGAGATTCCTGCAAGTCAAATGGCAGGACGCAGTGCGAATTGGGTGTGGTAAAAAAGCATGTCCGCGCATTGGTGGTCAAGTTTTGAAGTTTGGGCAACGGGCAAAGGCTTACGCCTTGAAGAAGTCATGCCAAGTGCGTGACGAGGTGATCGTTTTGGGCCCGGCGCTTCAGTCTTCTTTGATGGCCACCAGTTACTACGTTCAGTCGGTCACGTCCCAAACGGTTGAGGTGTCACGATCCCAGAACAGGGCGGCTACATGGAAGTCTTGACCCAGGCGATCATGAACAAGGTGGTGGAGGAAGAGATGCTCCTACAGGATGATCACGAAAATGAAATGACCAACAACAATAGAAGCTGGAGGAAGAATTTCTGGTTGGGATGGCATGACAAAGCCTCTTCTGGGCCAGAGCTTCGCAGGCTTCTTGGGTGACTGAGGTGAAAGTAGAGTGCTGGTTCTTGTTGGGGCAATCTGCATTCCTTCCTCTTCGATGCGGTCTGCGGAGATTGCATGAAGTTGCCTGTGAGCCACAGGACCAAGAAGGTTCAAATGAAAGCGATGAAGGGGTTCAAGTATACACCCTTACGGTCAAGGCGGGCACGAGCATGGGAGGTTCCAAGCAGCGAAGCACACCACGTGATGAAGGGTGTGCAACCACAACAGAAGAAACAGAGGTTGAAGATTCAATGGCTTCAGCTGGCCAAGCGCGGGCAGCGAAGAACCACAACAGCACTCGAGAGCCCGCAGCCAAAAGCACACCATGACAAGGAGGAGGTCTTTGTCCAAGCCTATTCGGCGTCAGCCGGGCTCTATGGGCAGGTCTACATCTTCAGCGAGTGATGGCAAGGTCAATGATGGTCCAACGAACCCATGGAATCAGTTCCAACGTCTTCATGCCAAAACGGGCTGAAGTATGGACAAAATGCGTGCTGAATATTTCAAGGAGAAGAGCAAACAGCAAACGTAAATTGGCTTGAGCCTGGCCCTCCTTTTGTGTTTTCTTCAAGCTTGGAAATTCGTCTCGAGAAGGCGGAGTCTGTCCAGTTCATTCGGTGAGAGCACCGAGAGTCGAATCCTTGAAGGCATTTTTGTTCAAAGGAAAAAGGCACACTGGGTGGGATTTCGAGCTCACAATACATTGCACAGCACCACGCTACACTGCACCACACTCAACGCTTCACATATTCATATCATACATTAATTCTGTCTATTTCTGTCTTGTGTATACATACATGAACACTTCTACTTGTGAATCTTCCATACATGTGTGATCGCCAATGTGGCCAAGCCATTTAAACATCACCCGCTTAAGACTCTTGGCTCAAGTCCCAAGCGGTGGTGTGTGTGTGTGTATTAGCAAAGAGGTTCATGCACAGGGGGTTGTCGAAAACAATCTTTTGGTTTGTGAGCCGCGAGTCTTGCACGAAGGTCCCCGTCCATGAACTGCTTGATCTCCAGTGCTTCCAAATGCACACAAGAGTGCACACAACCAACATGTTGTCCCCAACAAGTCCCACGCCATGTTGGCACCTCTGAAGCGCTCCGTGTGAGGCCATCGGGCGGAAGTTTCCTTAGGCCGAATGGCTCGGTGTGGGTCACCTGGTGTGGGCTGTTGTTTTGGTGAATTATGAACTGGACACAAACCCGACCAACCAAGATATAGGCTGCGGGGGAAGTCTGGGTGATTTCCAGCATGAGTTGGACAACAACCTCATCTCAAGTTCAACAACCTTACCTGGGGCAAGGACGCTACTGGGGGCTCCTGGCCTTACTACTAGGAACAAAGCTGCTAGGAACAAAGGGCATCGCTACTAGGAGCAAGGACACTACTAGGGGCTCCACAACTGAGTTGGAGCAGCTTCTCTGGGGGATCGTAGGCAGGTGTCGTGAACGTTGGGATCCCCTGGATCCGTGTGTTCCTTGGGCTTAAAGACATGTGGCTGAGAGGTTCAACTGGGAAACTATATGAAACTATGGGGTCTAAGATGTCTAAGTTCATGAACTCATGGGCTGTGGGGTTTTGCAATCCTCAATTCCAATCTAAGCTGTATCAACCTCCAGCATACCCTCTTGACTGTCCAAAAGCAGGCACTCCAAGAAACAAAATGGTGTTTCCATTTTTATCGCCTTCGGTCTCTTCCCATTCAGCAAAAGGCTCCAAGCGCGGAAGGACGTCTCTCTCCCACAGCTCACGCACTTTGGCCCCGCGGTCCCCGGTGGCACCACAAAGGACCGCGGCTTCCGGCGATCCAAAGCCCGCCGTAGGTTGCACTCCAAGTCAACGATCATGCCCTGGGACATAGAGATCATGCATGGTGTGTGATCAAAGCTTCCCCAACGTGTGAACCACATGGATACTCGGATAGCCAATTCCAACCATATTCTGCCTGCGGTATTGGCTACTTTTCCCATGTGTCTTGTTGAATTCTTTGAGAGTTTCTCACTAAAGAACCTTCAACAACACTGATTGAAAGAAGCAAAGTTCCAGAGCCTTCAATCAAGTTCCTCAACCAAGCATTCAGGCAGTCTCCCATGCTAGCCTTCAGCGCGTGGATGTGTTTGTCCTCCGCGATCTCGCGTTCCAAGACCGCGATACGCTCGTCCTTCGACTCGTTCTCCAGCTCCCGTAAACGCACCAAGATCTCCATCTCCTGGAGCATCTGAGGAACCCCTCCACCCTGCCCGAAAGATCCCAGGATTGAAAGTGGGCCCATCTATTCTTCGTTCCTGGAATGGAAGAAATTGTTAGACTGTTTGCATGACTGTACAAACTGTACGCAACAAAAGAGCCATTGAACTCCAGCTAATGTTTTGAGTTGCACCACGCGTCATGCCATCTGTTGAATCCTGCGGACAAGGCCTTCGCAGGCATTCAGCATCAGTAATCAGTCATGTATTCGTCTCATTTTGTGCCCCAGGTGTTCCATACCATTTCACGGTTAGCGGAAATACCTTTAAATCTGAAATCCTAAGTCATGATGCGAAAGAATCCACGAGACCGAGGTTCTGAGCCTTTGGATAGAAAAATCATAGAGATACAGCCTAGCCGAGCCCATGAGGACGAGTGCCTGTTTTATCATGTTTCACCACCTTCCACAAGTCCTATCTCAGATATCTTATTGGACCATCTGGGGCCTGTCTGGAGTAAACTGGCACAGGCTTTGTGCAAAATTGAAATGCCACAACACCTGTCACTTCAAATATACATACATCACTTGCCGGCCTGCGAACGCTGCAGCCGTAGGCGTTCTGTGAGTGCAGCGAACCTGCACATGGGTGGCAGCAGTTGGTCATCCCACCAAGCACGGTGTGGGTTTGGATCAGCTTGGGTTTTCTAACCACGTGGGGACCTCTTGCAATCAAGCCACTGTCGCGCGCTGGCAGCAACCAGCTCGCGACGCATCAAATCCCCTTCCAGCTGTTCCTTCAGGACTTCCATCCTGAGAGCCATTTTGAATGACCCGCGCAGTATGCCGGATCCAAGCTTCACTGGTGTCTTAAAAATAGTAAGTAAGAACTCCATCATGCAAAAAGGAATACACGTGTATCCCTAGAACTCTGAACGATCAAGAGAGCAACACCGGCCTGAGCTGATCCATGAAGTTCATCAAAGGCACCTCACACATCAAAGCATCGACTGACTTTATTCTGGGCATCCGGTCCATTCCGAGCAGCGAAGTCCGCACAAACTGTTCCCCAACTAGCTTCTTGCTACTAGTAGCGATGCCAGGAGCCCCTAGTAGCTTCTTGAGCCCCTAGTAGCGTCCTTGCTCCTACCAAGACACCATTTGCCGAGAGCTCCATGTCAGTTGCTGGTTCACCGCAGCCAATGATGCCTGGCACTTCGTACTTCTTCCAGGCCGTTCAGCTGTCTAGCTCCATGTTGGTTTTGTCAGTACAAACAAACGAAGCAAGATCAAGATCGTTCTCTTGTCTTTATTGCATCTACAATGGGTCCGGTCTGTTATCCTCCTTCAACTGCAATCATTCAGGTGTGCGTCCAACAATTGAAGCACACTCAGAATGGGTATCATCTGTGGATAGAATCCCTTCGTTTCCTGCTGTGGTATTTGAAGCTTGCAAGACCTGCCTGCAGTCTGCCGTTTTTGCTACAAGAATCTCTGCAACCAGTCACCCTTTTTCTTTGGGTCTTCAGCAAACGGTGCCTTTCATTGAAATGCCGTCAAAAGTAAAACAACGCAGCGCTGCCTGTGTTTGGTCCAGATGCTTCTCAAGGCGCAAGGCACCACGCAATGGTTGCCACAGCTCCCAGATCCAGAGCAAATATTCCAGACGCTCATATGGCCGTTGCCCTGGAGATGTGAGACATAGTGCGATTGCAGAAAGTACGTGCGAAGCGCCTTCTATCTCGGTGCTTTGGAAACATAAAGACAGTCCTTTCATAGTCATCAACGATAGAGGATGACATGCTCGGAAAACGAACAATGCACCGCAGGCCGTTGGCGCATGCGGTGGTCCCATTGGGCGCCAAGGAGCTGTAAAGCAAACGCTTCGCCAGCGCACGGCGGTCGGACTTCAAACGACTCGCTTCGGTCGCCACGAGCTTCACCGCATCGTTGCAGCGGAGGTTCTCGTTCAGTAAGAATCGCACCTCGTTCCGGATTCATTGAATTGCTTAAGGATTCGATGTGCAACAAAAACAATGTAAAGAAATTTGGAGCAATGCCATGGATGTTTTGATGTTCGCTACTTCTCCACTTCAACTTTCTTGCTCACCCAGCCTCGTTGCGCAGTGCAAACTCCACACTGTCTCGCATCTCCTGGACTCAAGGCTGGTGAGGTCTACCCAAGTCTGGTGCAGTGGGGTTCCAAACATATTCAAAAACATGTTCCAAATACTGTTTATTGAATCAACATGTTCCATTTCTTATGTTTTTTCTTTAAGACCTAACTACCACCGTGGGTACTGCCGGTAGCTACTACCTCGGACGCACTCTCCGCACAGGCTTCAAGGTTCTGTTGCTCCCCCTGTTCGGTTTGGCCCCTTTCACATGAGCCATTGAGGTTCCTAGGGTTCTGAATGGAACCTGGCTCCGAATGGTTCCGAATGGTGTCTTTTAAGGAACCTAACTAACTTACAAACTTCATGATTAAAATCAAAATGAGATTTGGGACGTAGTTTGGGTGAACCAGCTTAACTCTTCGGCTCCTCCTGTTCTCGTCTGATTCGTTCTTCCTTTTCCTGTTGCAGGATGTACATAAACCCCTGGCGGAGCCGGCAAGAAACCAGTATGCAAGCGAAACTGCGTAGAGCATGATGAAGCTGCAGAAGGTCCATCAAGATCCATCAAGTCTATCACTCTTTCGTTAAAGATGTGAGGTTGCATTTCCTAGGTCAACTCTGTGTTTCGTGTTGAGACCCCAAGCACAGCGAGCGTCGACAGGCCTATCTTATGAGGAAACAGCAGGGCACCAATGCCCTCCAAACAAGATGCTTCGTTTGAAAATACCACACACGCCACATGAGCCTGAAAGGAATAGAAGAGATTCTCTTTCTTGTTCTGCAAGAAGAGGCGATCTCGTAGGCCTTGCCTTGCTTTGTAGATCATCATCTTCGAGGCACGAACATGCCGAGCAAAGAGGTCATCCTGGGCTGCTTAGACGGCACAATGAAAAATATACAAAAACTAAGTAACAAAAAGCATGGCGGGCGTCATTTGAGAGACGTTCTACTCCTGGGGACATTCTTGGGATATGTTTAAGCCATTCAAGCCAGTTCTATTCGTCCGTTGTTTTCCGGCATCTAGGATACCTGATTCTATAGAGAAACCTGTATACACAAGGGAACTGTTTCAATGTATCCAGACTAACTCGGATGGGAAGGATGATTGCACAACTTGAAGTCAAAGATTTGGAGAGACTCCACATGAATGAAAGCATGCCTTTCTCTGCCAGGAGGCATAGTCTTCCTGTAATTCTGCCTCACGCTCCAGAACTGCGTTCAGTGTCCTGTTGCAGAGTTCAGCAGGCCGTCACATCATTCAAGCCCCTTCTCATCTGCAACTGACCCTTGTTGTGACATGTCGGAACTGACACATGAACATCGACGGATTTGCAACACCTGCACTTTGCCAAGCCCCTACTTGTACCTGCTGTTCCAAACCAGCGCCATTTATTTGAATATGTCCGGTTCAGCGCCAAGGCAAACCTCACCTTGTCTGCTTGTCCAATCTCTGGATTGCTTCCTCTGCCTGCATCTTGCAGCTGGACCAATTTCGCAGACGGTCCTCCAGCAAGCACCACATGAAAAAAACAGTTGTATTAACTGAAGTTTTGAATAGATTTGGTGTCACTCTGTAGGTCAAATAGTTACAACCTACAGTATAATTTGCAGAACAGGACAGTGAATTTTGCGCATGCGTTCCTTCCTACTTCGGGACAACTCCCAGCACCCCGAGCAATTTCTATGGCTGGGCTAATGTGCCCCTGAACATCCCTTGCATGATCTTGCGGACTTGCCAAAAAGGAAACATGTTGTTTTAAAGAAATAGATTAACCTAAATGTGTCATGATCTGAGTCATGCAGGACACATCTTGGAAAAAGAGCGTCCTCGCTCTCGTAGTTGGTCTCAATCAGCCGATGCCGTAGATCATTCACCTGACACTCGAAGACACTACTACTAGTAGCTAGAAGCTACTAGGTTGCAGGCCATCGCTAGTAGGTTGAGGCCCATCGCTACTGGGTTGGAGGCCATGGCTACTAGGTTG